GGAGGGGAGGCGGAGGAGGAGGAGGAGAAGGGTGAGGAAGGCGAGGAGAAACCACCCTTGGCACGGTCGTGCGGTTTCCCAGCTCGCCCGGGGCCGTCTGGAAGCCCCCCCCCCCCCCCGGTTTCTGAGAAGGCTTCCCGAACAGGTGGCGACACCTGAACCCCGACCCCCACCAACCGTCGGTCCTCCTGGATCGATGGGAGCTCGATGGGTGCTCGAATCTGACGGGGGCCGTCTGCGAAGCCCCCCTCCTCGGCTTCTGAGGAGGAAGAGGAGGAGGAGGAGGAGGAGGAGGAGGACGGAGGAGGAGGAGGAGGAGGAGGAGGAGGAGGAGAAGGAGGAGGAGGACGAGGAGGACGGAGGAGGAGGAGGACAGGAGGAGGAACAGGAGGAGGAGGGGCGGGAGGAGGAGGAGGAGGAGGAGGAACAGGAGAGGAGGAGGAGGAGGAGGAGGAGGAGGAGGAGGAGAAGGAGGAGGAGGATTATCGCCCGGGGTGGGGGCAGAAGACGGGCGGTGCCCTAGCTGCAATCTTTGACATGAAGAAGGGGCGGGGAGTCCCACGGCTGCAACCCCCGCAGGGGCGAGCAGGCCAAGATGAGATGACCCCCCCCCTCTCGAGGCAGCGCGGCTTCTCGCGGGAGAGCAAGAAGCTGCGCCGCGCACCCTCTGTGGCGCGCCCGATCCCAGAGCGGTCGCCGGTACCAGGTGGGCTACCTGGCCCGTGCGGCGCCCGGGGGGGCGTGGGCCCGCCGGGTGCTAGGCGCACCGGCAAAGGGTCGATATGACTGGGGGGGGGCGAATGTAAAAGGGGGAAGGGAGTGGGAAAAGCATGCATGCTCATGACCACCGCCCCTCGCTTCCCCACGTGCCTTCCCTGAGTCATGCGGCTAATTCTCTGCCGCCACACTCCCAACAATCGTATCCATCAGAACCGACCTTGCCTTCCCATAACTGATGCTGCGACTATCGCCCGGGATGGGGGCAGAAGACGGGCGGTGCCCTAGCTGCAATCTTTGACATGAAGAGGGGGCGGGGAGTCCCACGGCTGCAACCCCTCGCAGGGGCGAGCAGGCCGAGATGAGATGACCCCCGACGCTGGAAGAAACGCAAGGGCTCCCCAACGCTGCCCCATGGTCAAAGGCACAGGTGTCGCGTTATATCGCAGATTCGTGCAAGCACTGTTTGGGGAATGCACGTCTTGCTGGAGGGGTGGTGTAGACATGAGCAGAGGCAAATGACGTCATGATGCCGACTGCGATTTTTCGGCGATCGTAGAGGCGCTGGTCCTGGAGACCATCATGCAGGCGCAGAGACCAGACGCTGGAATTCCAGCCCGTCAGAATCCGGCTCTTGCGGCGGGACTGCAATCCAACGCCCGCGCGAGACGTGAGCAGCTACCGTGGAGTCCTCATATCCAGCGCGGCTCAAGACATCGGCTGGGCTATCGTCCGACGGCGCTCGCTCGAACCATGGACGTGACCCGAGAGCGACAAGCGCCGCTGTGGCCTGCAGGGCCAGGCGGCACATGGACTCAGTTGGCGACCCCGCTTTCACGAGTGCTGCTTCGGCCGCCTGGTTGTCTATGAACCAAAGCACGTCTGCCCCTCTAAAGACG